CACACACACTCACACGCACTCTCACACACACACACACACACACACACACACACATTGTAACAATATAAAGAATCAAGCAGCTGAGATTTGCAGTGTAGTATTTATCGCTTTATGCGTGTTGTGTGCATTATATATCCAACTGTAAATATATAGCTGTGTGATTATATAAAGCCTGTGTGTTTTCCAGTTGCCGGTAGTGATGCGTATCCCACAGTTCTCTGCGCTGGCTCAGAATCTGTGCATGATGCAGTTCTCCATCCTGGGCTACGGTGACATCATCATACCAGGTCAGAGCTTCACATGCATCATACGACACGCGTCCTGTGATCAGGACCAAACACCAGCTCGAGCCAGCAGCTTTGACAAACTTTAGGTTGGCTTGAGAAAGCCTAGCCTGAAAGTTTAAAGCCGTTGTAAAAGCCTGACGATTGAAAATTTAGATTAGATGGATGTTGATAACATGTTTCTAGCATGTTTTTAACATGATTGGCCTGTCTCTAGCATATTGCTGGCATGTTGCTAGCATGTTGTTAACATGATTAGCAAGTTACTAACATGTTGTTAACATGAATAGCAAGTTACTAGCATGTTACTAGCATGATTAGCAAGTTACTAACATGTTGCTAGCATGTTTCTTGCATGTTGCTAGCATGTTGTTAACATGAATAGCAAGTTACTAGCATGTTGTTAACATGAATAGCAAGTTACTAGCATGTTGTTAGCATGATTAGCATTATTAGCATGTTACTAGCATTTTGTTGGCATTTTTCTAGCATGATTAGCATGTCGCTAGGATAGATAGATAGATAGATGGATAAGAAATATTAGATAGAAGGGAAGTCTGATTGAGTCTAATTGGCTTCAGTGTGTTTAGATTCGATACATTCCATCAATGTAAATCTATGGGATTTTTATGATTTTTAATCTTCATTTTTATGAAAACCATAAGTCGGATTAGTCTGAAAAGATAAAGCAACCCAAGTCCGATCGGTCTGAAGAGCTGGGCTGAGTTTGGTGGTTCTAGCTGGAAAGCTCTGGGAGGAGCAGCGTTCAGAACTTTAGTCTAAGAAGAAGAATAAAAAGCTCAAGTAGCAGATCAGTAGGTAGGCTTTCTCAAGCTAAATCTAATCAGTGCATCACTCGTTTAAACCCTGAACTCGCTGCAAACCCATGCCTTTGGCTCCTGATGGCCTCGTGTTTACGCCGGTTTCTGTCTGCAGGTCTGCTGGTGGCGTACTGCCACAGGTTTGACGTGTGGATGGGAAACTCCAGAAGAATCTACTTCATCTCCTGCGCCGTCGGTACGAGCATCGTGACTCAGATTGCAGTAATGCTGTGTTCAGAGCGCTGTAACGGTGTGTTGTTCTGCAGCGTACGCCGTGGGTCTGGTGCTGACGTTCACCGTGATGCTGCTGTCGAAGATGGGTCAGCCGGCGCTGCTCTACCTGGTTCCCTGCACGCTCCTGACCAGCGCCGTCCTCGCCTGCGTCCGCAAGGAGTTCACACACTTCTGGAGCGGCACCGGGACCTACCAGGTGACAGGATTCTCCTGCTTCTGTCCCTTCTGTCTCTTGGCAGACGAGCAGCAGTCTGGATGTGATTTCATGAGCTTGTACACACACGAGCTGCAGTACAGAGTAGGGTCACGATACCATAAACACACGTTACCATACTGGACCAGCTGAAGTACACGACGCCATGAGAACTGAGATCAGTTACTCGGATCAGCAAGACTCGTGATGTTTTTAAAGAAGTGTCTTCTGCTCATCACGGCTGCATTTATTTGATCAGAAATACAGAAAAAAACAGTAATCTTGCTAAATGTTATTACAATATCACAGGAATAAATTAGATTTGAATGTATATTAAAATAGAAAAACAATTTTACATCATAATGATATTTCACAATATTACTTTTTTCTGTATTTTTGATCAAATAAACGCAGCCTTGATGAGCAGAAGTCTTCTTTAAAAACATTACAAATGATCCCAAACTTTTGACCGGTAGTGTACATCTTAATGTTAAGATTATTTTGATCATGCAAACGTGTGTGTGTGTGTGGGACAGAGTGCTGCCCATCTCATAAATCAAGCCCATGACCGACCGCTGTCGGAGAACACTGAATGAAGGACACTCGTGTGTATTTGCAGTTCAGCTGCCGCTTCTGCATCCAGTGTGAGACCGCTGCCATCTCTACACAGCATTTTGCGCCCTTAAAGGGCACCGCAGAACGGCGACATGACAAAAAAAGGCACTATTGTGTTGTTTATTTGCAGCACAAGAGTTCAAACATTTTAGCGACTGCCCCACATACAGCATTACTTACGGCAGAACTGTAATGACGATCCTACCGTTTAAGAAGTACAGTGGCACCACCAGTATTTTAGTATCGCGATACTACCGTAGTGAACCGTGCAACCCTAGTACAGAACACTACACAGTGTACAAATACACTGATTCTGAGACGATATTAGCATCAACAAATCAGCTCTTCTGCAGCGGCGCACATTTCTACAGCTTAAAGTCATGGTTCATTAAAAACTGAACATTAGCTGTTAATGTACTCTTCCTCAGGCCGTGGAGGCGGCTTTTGTTCTTCAGTAGGACAGTAAAGATGATTTTTAGGCTCTGGATTACAGTAATAATGCTGTAAATAATGTTCAGCTTCTTGCACAGACTGATCGTTTCTCTTCAGAAGATCTCAGTATATCGTCAGGAGACACGGGGATTCATTTAATGTTCCCTGATATTGATGATTGGCTCTCAGAGTGACGGTAGCAAGTTTTATGATTCACAGAGGAGCACGGCTTCAGCTAAAAATCATCTTTACTGTCCTACTGAAGAACAAAAGCCGCCTCCACGGCCTGAGGAAGAGTACATTCACAGCTAATGTTCATGGTTCATATGTTCAATTCCCAGGGAATGCATAAACCTTGAATGCACTGCAAGTCTGCTAAATTAATAAATGCAACTAAGAGCAAGCTAAAGTTTTTAAAGTCTCAGCATATTTGCCTAAACAATAATAATGAAGCTGTGTTTCTGGACGAGGACTTGAAGTCCGTGTGTGTGTGTTATCCGAGAAACGGATATATGTGTGTATGCTGTGTTATAAGACTTGAAATGTGACTTGGTCTCCATCAGGTCCTGGACGAGTCCAGGAAGCCCTTATTATCAGGTTTGAGCTCTTGTTTTAGTCCTCCCTTCTTCATCACTTCTGCTCAGTGCTGCCCTCTGTCTGTCTGTCTGTGTGTCTGCATGTGTTCCTGCTGACTCCTGCTCTAATGCCTCACTTCCTGCAGAGCACGTGTTCACCACATGGTGGCGCTACAGTGTGCAGATTCCCTGTAGATGTAGCTTGTGTGTCTCCAGCATGTTTATCTGATGATTTCAGTTTCTCTCCTGCTGGTTTGATGTAACTAACACACTGCCAAGTGTAGATATAGATACCATATATATCATTTTTAAAAATGTAATAAGAAATAATATATGTGTGTGTGTGTGTGTGTGTGTGTGACCCTGCAGCACAAAAGCAGTGTTGAGTCGCTGGGGGATATTTGTAGCAATAGCCAACAATACATTGTATGGGTCACAATTATACATTTCTCTTTTATACCAAAAATCATTAGGATATTAAGTAAAGATCATGTTCCATGAAGATATTTTGTAAATTTCCTACCGTAAATATATCAACACTTAATGTTTGATTAGTAATATGCATTGCTAAGAACTTCATTTGAACAACTTTAAAGATGATTTTCTCAATATTTAGATTTTTTTGCACCCTCAGATTCCAGATTTTCAAATATTGTGCTATCCTAACAAACCATACATCAATGGAAAGCTCGTTTATTCAGCTTTCAGATGATGCATAATTCTCAATTTCGGAAAATTGACCCTTATGACTGCTTTTGTGCTCCAGGGTCATTCATATATATATATATGTGTGTGTATATATATGAATGATAGGCATTAAATATATTTAAATAATATATCATATTTTTATGATATTTAAAAAATCTATTATTAAAATACATATAAGCATTAAATATATATGTATAAATCATGCTCTTTTTTTTGGCATTCTTGTGGTTTCAATAGTTCTTGCATTTTTTTTAATGTAAATTTTGAATTTTTGCATTAAAGTTATTGATGAATCATGATGCATGAGAGCATAGTTAGTGAAGGAGACCCGTTGTTTTGTTTTTTACATTCTACTCGGTAAATAAAAACGAAATAACATATTTCCAGATGTTTTTAATGCTACTGGTAGTAAGCTCTTCATATATATATATATATGTGTGTGTATATATATATATATGAATGATAGGCATTAAATATATTTAAATAATATATCATATTTTTATGATATTTAAAAAATCTATTATTAAAATACATATAAGCATTAAATATATATGTATAAATCATGCTCTTTTTTTTGGCATTCTTGTGGTTTCAATAGTTCTTGCATTTTTTTTAATGTAAATTTTGAATTTTTGCATTAAAGTTATTGATGAATCATGATGCATGAGAGCATAGTTAGTGAAGGAGACCCGTTGTTTTGTTTTTTACATTCTACTCGGTAAATAAAAACGAAATAACATATTTCCAGATGTTTTTAATGCTACTGGTAGTAAGCTCTCTCCTAGCGACTATAGTTGAGTGTTTGACTGTGTGTCCGCAGCAGCTGATGCGACGCTGTTTCTGTGGGTTTGAGTGTAACGCTGTTACAGTAACGTCTGTCTCTGTGTCTTCAGATGGAGACGCTGGTCACGCCGGCGGAGTGAGGGGCTGCTGAGATCCTGACTGATCTCATCTTCATCATCTTCATCACTCAATCACACTGGGACACTTTACTAAAACATCAGACTGTCTGAAAATTATTCTTTAAGAAGCCTTAAATAACCAGATCATCCTGCTGTTTTTTGTCTTTCACTTTTTTATGCGATCATTTTTTAATGTTGGGAATATTTGACAAAAGCCTCTCTTTCTCTGTAATCGAAATAAATACAAATCTGAACCCTGAAGCGAGTGATTGCTGATTGAGTGACGTCAGTGCATCTGTCTGTGTGTGTGTGTGTGTGTGTGTGTGACAGCAATGATACAGTGTTTCCTTGGTTACCGCCGTAAACAAAGCAGCTTTATGAACAGCAATGATACAGTGTTTCCTTGGTTACCGCCGTAAACAAAGCAGCTTTATGAACAGCAATGATACAGTGTTTCCTTGGTTACCGCTGTAAACAAAGCAGAGCTACACTTATGAACTTTAATATGCATTATACAGAGGCAAGATGAAAATAAAAAATACCATCTAAACTTTTCTAAAGACAGTAAGCTCGCTTCAGAAATACATTCATATAAACTCCTACCCCTAAATGAATCGCGATTTGTTTAGCATCTCAACCGATTTGAATCGTCACATTTTTAAATCGATTTTCAACCGGCTCGCGGTTAATCGTTACATCCCTACTATGTACTTACATAAAAACAAATAATTGTTTGGATACAAATAGTATCCAACTGCAGAGTCGCAGCTGATGAATGGAGAAGAAGCCTGGGTCTCAAGCGCGACACATTGAAAAAGCCTTGAGGCGCAATGGTCAAAGATTTCCATCTAGCGTCATATTTACATAGAAAAGCTATTAGACAAGCAGCGGAGCTTTGTAAACCGCTCAGAGTAATCAAGCCATCTCCAAGCCAGTTTACCAGTAAAGACTGTATGTGTGAAAGAGGCTAAACTCTTCCTCTGCAGAAGCGGTGAGTTTGGGTTGCTTAACGTTCATCTGGGAAAACCCACTTGATTTGTGATGTAAATCATTTAAACCCATGCCAACACAGGAGAATACATCAACATATTTCTAAATATGCGATATATTCTACATCGCGATTTCAAAATAAGAATTTCTGACTTTGCATGTGGCCAAATATTGCAGTTAAATGGATTTAAACGTCGTTGAATCACGTGAAACATCACCAGGCCGTTGGCGCCCTCTGCAGGTGTTTGTTATAATATAGGCATATTACATTGTGTATTTAACAGTGTTGTTCAATAAAACCATGTACTTTGTTTTGATACTTTATTTGAGGCCAATTATTATTGCCTCATCGGTACTTTATATATAAATAGTCATATTAAAGCCTGTTTTTCACTTAGATCTATTTGTATTACTAAAAATAGCAGATTACTTGTCAAAATAATCAGTATATTACTTGATTAGCAAAATTATTCATTAGTTAAGCCCTAGATGTGTTAAAACATTTCAAAATACAACTGCATTGTTTTACTTTTTGTGATTTAAAAGACAAATATTTTGTCATTTGAAAATTTCTTAAAGTATTAAAGCATTGTCTCGTTCTAGTGAAGCAAGTATCTGTATTTTGTCTCATCTCGTGAGCTGTGTGTTGTCACAGCCCTAGTGTCTACGAGCGTGAGAAACTCATAATTATCCAAGTGTATGATATAGCTTTCATTCTTCAGGTCAATCTTATACTCGTGGAAAAGAAATCAATTTGAATAAGGAAAGCGATAACTTTGTCATAGTATCCTTTCAAATGTTAAAGTTGCCAGTCATTGCATTCTTTGCATGTGCTGCACTTTATTTGTACCATTTTGTTTTATTAGTTTATTTATTAGAATTTGAAAGATAATAACAATATTGATTGATTAGTGAGATCTGATTTTAGTCCTTGAAAACCAAAAAAAGTAGTGCAAGTCCTCGAAAGTCCTGGACTGTTATTTTGCAGTGTCTGTACGAACCGTTTAAGTTACCAGTTCTTGGAGCATTTGAATGTTTTTATTGTTGTTAATTGAACTGAACTGTAGTTTTCTGTAGTAAACTGTCTTTGTATGTTTCCTATTTTATATTCATTTCCTAGTATTTAAGTGACCATTATTTCTCTTGAACAAAACAATTTCAGAAATGTCATGTTTTAGATTGTAGGTCATCCTGTACTCTGTCAAGGGCAAAGCTAACCAGCTAAACTTGATATCAGAAGCATCCTAAATGTTGCATGTGTTTGCAGCATATTGTAGTGAGTAAGCTTTCCTGGTATTGCTGTTTCAGATATCCACCATAATCTGTAGTCTGAGCCTGTCGAGGGCTAATGGCAGATACGTTACTAGTAGGGCTGTGCAAAAAATCTAATGCAGTTTTTCTCAAGATTTTGTCTTCACACAGAAACTTAAGAGAGTCACATGCTCAAGATTACTGTAATACCAGACCTGAGCGAGAGAGAGAGGCTGTAATTCTCTCTTACCTCGAGCAGCTGAACTGTGTTAAATATGAGATTCAGCAGTTCGGCTCAAACACTGTAATTTACGAGCGAGTTTGTGGAGAAACTCCCTTTAGCCCCATCTAGTGACGTCTTTAATTGGAAAAAACGATCATTAAAGGAACACTCCACTATTTTTGAAAATTGTTTTAAGTTAAACGGTGGAGTTTTACCGTTTTCCCGTTTTCTAAGCCGATCTCCGGGTCTGATGACCAAAGAGTTTTGATATTTTTCCTATTTTTCATTTTCCGTCGGTCTTACGGTCTTAGGTAACTACAGAAGAGTCAAGTTTTAAATAGGAAAAATATCGAAACTCTCTTTTTGTCATTTTTGAGCGAGATGCTAATGGTCTAATCAGATTCAATGATCTATGCTAAGCTAAGCTAAAAGTGCTACCGCCAGACCCGGAGATCGGCTGAATGGATTAGAAAACGGTAA